CCATGTGTCACGGGATAAGCGAAGTCTGTGGCGCTCTCTGCCTTATTTCGCATGAGTCCATGTGTCACGGAGAATTATTCACTGGACAGACAGACAGAGAGACAAACCTATTGATTCCCCTAAGACAAACCAAAATGACGCGACAGCTTAGTGTAGGCCGAACTGCGTTGTTTTTCTATCCAGTTTCATTTCTGTCACGAAAAGGTGTTTGTTTACGTTAGACCAGTCTTTCTAGTGTTTATTTTAAACCACAAAGCTGTCCATTTCTTTGCCTACCTTTCAGGCACATGCCTGTTCAAGAAGGAAATGGCAACGCTGAAACTCTGAAAGCGTTAGAATTACAGACCTACTTGTTTTCGAAGCTTTTCCTGCACTGAGCGGAGATCCACAAAGCCTCGACGAAGCTCACATTGAGACAGAAAGATCACAAATATTGAGTAGGTAAGGATTTAGAAGGACGCGGGCTTGGCTTCAAGGAACTATCCTGATATATCCCTGGAGGGCCTGAGGTGGAGATTTTGCATTTAACAGCATAAAGGTGAGCAGATCTTCACTCCTAGGTAAACACATCGCTTCAGTTGCTCGTTTAATGACGCTGTAGCAAATAAATAAGAATACGTAAGAAACCGACGCGTTCTTAAAAATCTTTTGGCCTGAAGGGGGCGGAGCACAGAGGGAAAGTGAGAGTCTGTGGACTGCACTTTACGTAACAATACACAAATAAGAATTTGTCCTCAATTAGTAAGACAATACATGTGTAGGCCGGAAACATGGCAGCCGAGCGCAACTGGCTGGGATGAGATCTTGTGTTGACTGTAGGGCAGTGTACTTACCCGATGACCCAGTGCCAAGGGTTCAGTGCAATTCTCTTTATTCAGGGTACAAAGGGCCAGGTAACGACTCCTTGGGGCAGAGCTCTTCAGTCGCTCAACTTGGCCAAGAGATTACCAGTCTTCGGTTTTAATCATTACGTTCTTAAATACCAGACGAGAAGACAAAGGATTTTTAAGTGAATGGCAGCAAACGTTTCCCAAGTTTAACCTGATCTTAATTTCTTCGACCTTTGCACATATTTGAGCTTTGTAACACCTAAGATAACTCGATAAATGTAAGCGGAACTTAAAACGGATTGGCCACGGAAATTTCTCGCCAACTACGATATTCTGTATCGTTGTCTCCGAGAGCCTAATGACACCGGAAATGAGTTCTCCGCGCTCGTAAATAATATCTGAAGTCGCGGCGTGCTGTGTGTTCAACCGGAAATGAGTTATATCACGAGAATTAATCCGTGATTTATTGCATTTTGGGACATTTTCGACGCCACGGGACTCTGTTTCTTACTGTTACGTAGCGGATGGATACAGACCGACTTTGTTTAGGTCAGTTAGAAGGCGGTGGTTACGCTCGTAATTATTTAACGTCTGATTTTGAAGTTTCAGCCTTTTTCTGTTAAACAAGTGAAAGTTTTATTGTTAGCAGAAAGAACTTAGTTTACCTTCTTTTCAGCACCAAAGGACGCACATCTACACTTTTCCTTTCGAGGCTTAAGACTGCTAAATCTTCTGCTCATTGCTGAGCCTTCAACGTTGTTCTTGGGACGTTGAACACTCTTAAGCCCTTAGTAAACCCGTCTTCTCCTTTGTCAATTCTCTTACCGTCTTCATCACTGCGTTCCTTATCCCACAACTTCAGTTTATGATATTATAAACTTTTGCCGGCATCTGAAAGGAAACGCGAAATATCTCAAGACATTTCTCTGGGCTGTTATTAGAAACCTACTCGTTCGCGATGTTAGGTGTCTGGCCTGGAATCAGTAGGCATCATGGCGTCATGTTCGCCTAAAATTAACCACGAAATGACTGAATAATAAGTAAACAGTGACTACTAGGGGTGCCTAAAAGTATGTGCAAGATGGAAGCTGTAATTAGGTCTACATAATTTCGTACAAAATAAATCACACCTCGGGATTACAATTTTATTTTATTTTTTTCATTTGAGGTTCCGAAGTCCGCTTATAACCAGTGCAATCCAATCTGCTTTGTATTTGCCGTCTGACCAAACCCCAGATTGAGGTGTTAGTGCGTTTGGTCTGCACACTTCTTTATATGCAAGCATGAGATATCAAGAAGGCGCTGAGCTAGACTGCCGTGCTTTTCGGCTCACAGGTTTTACCGGGCATTAGCGTGCAGGGTGGAACCGCCGGGGGGTGCCGGGTCAGATATCGGCCAGAGTAATCAGCCACTTGTCCTCGGGGTGCAAAAATAATTATTGTATAATATCGCTGCGGTAGGGGTGGAAGCCAGCGTATCAATTCGCTTGCACTCAATTTACCATCTGCAACCCCCGAGAGATTGCCCGCATTGTCAGAGACTGTTCACCCCTGGGAATGCCTGCTCAGCGGAGCACGAAATTTGGCCACTGCGAGCGCTCCGTATTCAGCCGAGCCGTGGAGAATGTTTGCTCTGAATTCTCGCGTAAGTAAGCGCAGACTCGTCCCGGATTAGGGAACACAACACGGACCTGACTTCAATTTAGTAAATTGCTAATTCCGAGTAGGTAACTGATATGTGTACGCTCTTCGCGTCAGAGAGGGACGGAAGGCGCTTCGAAAAACTGCAACTGAGTTTTTAATCTGTTGACATTTGTCTTATTTTAATTCGTTTTTGGAGAAGAAATCGTGTCGATTTAGTCATATCCTACAGTCACGTGCTTTACTCTGCGTGCTGTTAGGCACGGCTCCAATGTTTCCAGTTTACCCTCCGTGAAGAAACATTATTTTGTGGCTTACAGAAGTAGGAAGTTCTAATAGAAAAGTTTCACACGTGACGCCTTTTCAAACCCCCGCAAAGTTAATGTCGCAATTCAATTTATTTTCGTTTTAAAAACATTTCCGTGCCAAAATTACATAAGCATTCTTGTATCCAATCCTAGCTACAGGTTCAATATACTATTTTTCTTAAAATATTCAATATTTTCGAGATAAACAGAGTAGTCTTTTGTTTCTTAATTTTATGGCAGGTCATAAGTCAGTAACCGTTTGGCCGATTTTAATCTGATTTTACACTGGAGGTCCTTGCTCTGACGTCCCACGTGTTCTGTAAAAATAGAATGTGACGTCATTTTCACATGTGATATCTGTAAGCTTAAAAGAGAAATACGATTTATGAATTACCCTGACATAAAGGCATGTGGTCCTTATGCCCATTTGCTACTCACAGTGTAAATTCGAAGCTCTTTCAGCTTAAAAATTTCCACAGGATGACGCTGACAGTAGCCCAGATAGCCTGCAGCGACCATAGGCTACAAATGAAGTTGTAACGGGATAATTTCAAAGTAGATTTTTGTGGTGGTCTCGTAGCTGACCAATCAGGAGCATAGGATTTGCCCCCCGGAGCCAAATAAAACTGAAAATTGCGGGGGACAGGCCAAGGTACACAGTATATCGAAATTCGCAGCAAATAGTTTACAAACATCGCGCGAATATGCAGGCATCATTTTGCCATAACTGAAGCAGAGTGGATCGTAAACTAATTTTCGCCGCATAAATTCCAGGATCAATCAGGAAACATTTCAATATAATTAAAACATCCTGTTTTCCGACGTGTGTACGGTTAGCCGAGCCTGCCAGAAAGTTTAAACTGTAAATTTAGCTCGCTGCCCCTGGATGCTAGCTGCACAAGAGTGCGGGGGTCGTGAGGGTGGAGGGGGGGGTTGTTGTGCAACGAGTGTGTGCAATACTGCAAAATAATTGCAGCTATTCGCATTGACCGGGTAAACACGGGCAGTTTGCATTTGGCGTCACGTGACGCGTAGGCCTCGAGGCCCACATGCATTACTGGGATGCAACTGCTAATTGCCTGAGCCCGGCTTCGAGGCGCACACAACCCTTGATTGGGACAAAGTCAACAGCGCATTCAACACCTGCATTTTGCCGTGCATTCCAAATTGGTGTTTGATGTGTGATTGGTGCAGATGATGAATCGGCTTTATTGTTTGATCGAGTTTCAACTCGCATGTGGTTGCTTTGCGGATCGAGCCACGGGCACCTACACAGTCGATGGACAAATGAACGCTGCACTGTCGCTTTTAAAAAATGCATTCGTCCTCCCTTCCAATTCATGGCGGCGTGTTTACTCTGCGAAAAATGCAACCCTTCATTATAAAAATGAGTTCTCTCTCAGCTCTGCTGGTTAACAATTCATTGTGAGACCGTGCAGTGGCTTTCGAGATAAATAACAATTAGGCCTATGCTATTATCAACAATGATAATAATAGCAGCTGCGGAAGCCTTGGTTAATTTGGTTCGATTCCGGGTTTCGTCCCGAGATAACACTAAATTAAATCAGTTTTGTTTAATTATATCAGAAATCGTGATATTCACGATAAATAAGTTTATTGAACATGTAAGTATCATTGAGATACAAGAATTCGTATGTAAATTTGGTAGCAAAACCTCTTGGAAGCGACCATTCTGATCAACGATTAAAGATGGAATGATGACATTCGAATGGGCGTTCGCTTCTGAGGATGGAAATGGATGCAGCTGGCTTCGGATTGTGTAAAATGTCGAGATTCGGTATTAGCGATGTTTAGAATTAATTAGCTGTAAATGTAATTACTAGTACGACCGATCAAAGTTTACGGGAATGATCCATTTTTGGGTTGAATTTATGGATCACGTAGTTTTTGACGTATGATATATATTTAATTCCAAAAAGTGGCAGTGCCAGTCACCATGTGACGGAGAGTTCTTAGGTTAGGTTAGGTTAGGTTATGTTAGGTTGGGTTAGGTTAGATTAGGTTAGGTTCAGTTAGGTTAGGTTAGGTTAGTATAGGTTGGGTTGGGTTAGGTTAGTTTAGGTTAGGTTAGGTTAGTATAGGTTGGGTTGGGTTAGGTTAGTTTAGGTTAGGTTAGGTTAGTATAGGTTTTAGGTTAGGTTAGATGTTCTACAAAGTCTGGCACCCGCTACAAATAAAACAATTACTTTCTTTTTCCTCAGTGATTACCGAGAGGGAATCAGAAGAACGCTGTCTCCTCTAAAAACTTGTCCCTGTGTGTATGCACCACGCCATGAAGACGTATGGAGGCTTAACTCCATGCATTCTTAACTACGGCACTGCATAGAGGTGAGTGATCATCTTTCAGTTTATTATTATTAGTAGTAGTAGTACCGCGAAGAAAACACCACACTTCACCATTACGAAGATCAACTGGTTAACCCTTTGAAGCCGAAGCTCGTATAAATATTACGTAAGAATTCAGTCCGTACCGCGAAGAAAACACTTCACTTCACCATCGCAAAGATCAACTGGTTAACCCTTTGAAGCCGAAGCTCCTATAAATATTACGTAAGAATTCGGCCCGTACCGCGAAGAAAACACTTTCCTTCACCATTTGAAAAATTAACTGGTTGACGCTGTTTAAGGAAATAATCGCTGAGAATTATAAAAGCCATAAATACAGAATAACGCAGTTAAAGTGTACGACATTTTTGACTAAACCGTCATAGGACGTAAGCCGACGGCTCTAAGTACAGTCGCACTTTCGTCGTACCAAATTCTCCGGACGTAGTTTTAAGACCCGCAGTGAAGACGTGCTTATATCCTCTTTGTCTCTCGCCCTAGCCACACTTCTGGGTTTTTTTTACCGATAATCAATATGGCCGCAGCATCGCATGTTGCCTAACGCTTGCAACCTTATATTTTATTCAGTTTCGAAGCTTGCCAGTGGCGGATCAAGGTAGGCCTGTGATATCCTCACGGCAAGTTTCAAAAAAAAAAATGCCTGGCGTCATGCGAGGCGGTCGTTGTGAGAGGAAGCAAGGTCTTTGTCAACTTTAATATTGTATCCGGGTATTTTGCTGGAGACAACAAGGCTCGGTGAGGACAGGCGGTTTCCGGGACGTCCCGGATATGAAGCTACGCACCGATAGATGTGCTTCGTTGTTGGTGTTGGTTCTCTGGGCTGTTCGTTCCTCTGGGATTAAGTTATTCGAGTATCAGTCCTGTGACGTGACGTATTAAGGGAGAAACACACACTCACGGGCGTGATAATACTTAATTAGAAGTTTAATCTTTGGCCTAAATAGCCTACAGGCGTATTTCAGGTGGTTCATTCTCACAGGAAAGCCAATGAAACAGGATTTTGCCTTACAGATGTTATTATTCAGCTCACAAAGAAATCATCTCGCGTTACAAAAGACAGAAAATTCATCACATTCGTCACAAAAGCAGCCTTCGAATTCTTACCTCGTCCATTTTACTCACAAATGAAACAAGTGGCTTTCTCTCCGTGGTCAGTGGCGTGTCGGTTAGAGATGAAGACCCTAAATTAGGACTGAGGGTGTGATAATGTGGTGCTTCGTCAGTGATGGACTCGGAGGTAATTTTGTTCAGTTCTACGTCGTTGAAGTCACGAGGAACAGAACGCAGGTCTTCGAGACAAGAAACCTAGCACCCAGAGGCTCTTAGATCTTAGTTTAGCTATATTTTTAAAGATGAGAACGCTCAGTACTGCAATGTAGGAAAATTGGTATGGATCAACATTTCTCTGTCGCGATGAACCAGTTCGTGTAAGGTTTGTAAGCTTTGGCTGAGACCTCATAAAATCTTCAGGTTGTTGTTTAATCGAATTAACGAGCAAGAAGTATCATCGGAATGGAGATAATTACTTGGACTTAATTAACAAGGGTCCTAGATTACGCGGATTACCAATAGACTGAGTCTATTAACTGTTAGGGGTATTAATTAAAAAAAAATTAGATGGCTCGAAAATAGAGCAGAGAGGACAGTATAAAAATCTGTAAAGCATAAGGGCAGATGAGACGATAATATTAAAATGGTCGCAGGGAAAAAAAAAATTTAAGTAAGAGTGTGGGTTGATTGAGCTGGCTGTTGTGAAAACAGTAGGAATAATTAAATTTTTTAAATTCTGTAACAGGCGTAGAATTTGTTGACTCGCCGAGGGACTGTCAGCTTCTTAAGGAGGCCAACGTTTTTGTTGTTGTTGTTGTTGTATAGTGCGTATAATGTGTCATTTAAAATTATCGACGAAAATTTACAACCGAACTGCAAAATAAAAAACTGGACGCTTGTAAAGTGCGTGCCGTTGAAACCAACGGGCCGTGTTTGAACAGACGCTCAAATAATAATAATAATAATAATAATAGTCACTCAAATCCTCGATGTGATTGACGAGCGTCGAACTTTGTTTTACGCGTTGCAGTTCGTTACGAAAGATTTCACCCAGATGACTTAAACCCCCCCACTTAATTAAAAACAAATTGTTTCACCAACGAATCTAATCATCCCCCATTCTTAATGTTTACACACAGATTGTCTGTTATATTGGGTTCGACGTTAATATATTACGGAATATCTGAGGCGATTATTCTGTTTATCCGTACATTCTGTTATCTGCTCGCCAATTACAGGTTATATTCCACGGCACACAGCAATCTAAAACTGCTTATGACATTACAAACACGCAACAACAACAAAAAAAGTGGGGTCCGACATGTTGTTTTAGTTCGTGTAAGTTCGGGATAGTTCGTATAAACTCGTGCACCCCCCAGCTGTGAAGCAAGTCGCTTGGCAGACCAATGAGGTGCGAGTTTCGGAAGGTGACGGACATGGCCCCCTACTGTATCGATCCAAACAGTTGAATGGCGGCTGGCGTCATGAGGAGTGGGGGGGGGAGA